TTCTTTATAAATAATTGTATGTATATATATATATATATATATATATATATATATATATATATATATATATATATATATATATATATATCAACTAGTTAATCACATCATGTTTTGCGTCGGGACGTAATGCGTAACTCAGTCTGTTATATAAAAAAAAATTAAAAACTTATGATGGGTAGTAATTATATATTTATATTATATTTATATTATAATTAGTTACTCTGTAGTTATATTGTACATCTTTGAGGTAAATCGTGAATTTTTCACAGGTTTGGGCGTTTTAAAAGTTTGATTTAAAAGTCATGTTTATTAAAGAAAGATTGAATCACTTATCATAAAAGAACATTTTATGTGCAAATAGAGATCGACTGTGTGAACCTATTTCAAAAGCAGAACTGACATAACCTACCTATCTTTAATCAACACAACTTCTCCATTCAATCAAAGTCGGTGCCATTGTTGCGCGCAAATTTTAGTTTTCATTACAAACTGTCTTAAAATGGCGTTCGTTATATTTTAAATTATAATAAAAAAGACATCTTAAAAAATTGGTTGATACGCAACTTTTGGTCAAAAGTGAGACAAAGATGACCATTGGTAGCAAGTTGTTGAATTGTCCAAGTGAGTCAGAGCGTATTTAATAATGTATCCAGGTTCATTTTAACAGGTTTATTCATGTGAAAGTAAATAAAAAAAAGTTTGGCAAATCAACTGAAAGTGATACAACTCTTAATTGATGGATGCATCCCAACTGTCATTAACTTTATAGTTGTGGTATTGAAGAATTTATGCCGATCTGGTATACAAATTTGTGTTGATATACAAATAAAAATAATTTCAAAAATTTATCATATCGTTATAATGGCAGCCGAATATTTATCTCCACATTACGAGAGTGAAAGCCTGTGTGAAAATATACTAATTTAATGCTGAAAACTATTTTTTCTTTTGCGTTAATACCAATTAACGATTAAAAAATTTGTAATTTTAAATTGGAGTCTAAAAATTTAAAACAAATTGTTTTTTGGGGGTATGTAAAGTGCTCAAGATTTTATGTAAATTTTTTTCCGAATAAAAAATTGAAGATTCAAAAAACTAATTTGTTCCACACTTGTTGCTTATTTATATGAAAAGTCGGGGAAGGCATGTTGGTTCAATGAAAAACTATAAAACAAAAAATGTGACTATGAAGAAATGAAACAAAGCATGACAAATACCTCAATATCGCGTAAACATTTTCTATAATGGTAAACTATAAGTGTATTTAATCACTACAAAAAATAAGCTGTTTTGCAAAAAATAATGTGTGTAAAACTATAATTTCAAGTCTATTCTACGGCAGTGGCAAAAATCTAGAAATGTAAAATATGAAAGCAGGAAAGGTAGGTCTACAACATCAAGAGATGCACGTTCTAGTGACCGTATACCTGCTTTTGAAATCCATTCTAAATAGGCTTCAGCTTGTTTTTCTACTATTTGTTGCTTTCTAAACTTTAAAAATGACCGTCTGTTTTCAACTTTTTCTCTTTCTTTGGCGAATTCTCTACAAAAGTGAGAACGCCAATAATGTAAGCCAAAAATAGCCGACACAATAAATATAATAATAATAATAATAATAATAAACGAGCAAGAAAAAAATGAAAAAATGAAGAAATGAAAAAGAGCACAGCCATCTTTCAAAACTAATTTTTCTTGAAGAGCCTCACCGGCTTTGCAAATCCACTCTAGGTAGCCATCTAATTCGCGGTCTACCTGCTGACGCTTCCGTAGTTTTAAAAACGCCCGTCTGCTCTCCACTTTCTCTCTTTCTTTCGCAAATTCGCTAAATTTATTTAGTATCAAATATTGTTCAGTGCTATCAAAAACCTCCAATCGAACGTTCAGAACATTCTGCATCGTTGAACAACAGTTTCATACAAGATTAATTTATAAATTACTATCGAGTTAGGTATTGGATAAACAAAAAAATTACTTTTTCATATAATTTGCATAAATACAGCGTTAAATAAGTTTAAATATTTCATTGTGTACGAACATCGAATTAAAATTTTTTTACATAATTTATACAAATGTAATTATTGTAGTTCAAATTGAAAGTATAAATTGAATAGTTAATAATATTTATAATAAACTATACATACGTATGCATGTGTGTGGTGTGTGTGTGCGTGTGTGTATGTGTGTGTGTGTGTGTGTGTGGTGTGTGTGTGTATACAAACTTATCAAATAACGTTATATAATTTAGCAATTCTTTGTTCATGAGACTTTAGTGCTTAAAACGACAATATTAAAATATCGTTTTAACAAGTCTGCTGAATACATTGCATCTCACACATTGCATCTATTCAAAATTTATGATATCTATTTAAATTTTATGACAACGATCGTGATTTTAGGTCATAAAGAAATCAGAAGGTTGATTGTAATAGATATTTTTTAATTTTAGAACCTAATAAAAACAACACTGTTTGATTGGTAATTTTTAAAACTTCGGCTGCATGCTAATCTTTAGGAAATTGCTCTGATGACTACATAAAATATTCATTCCATGTTTGTGGGTACGAACCAATCAAAATGACAGCACGTAATGAACAATTTTTAAAAAATTTTAAATCAATTAATTATTCAAAAACCCATACTTATTCATTTAATTCTCAAACAGGTGATGCCTATCATTCATGAATGAAAAAACTCTCGAAAGTACCATCCACATCTATTTAAGTATTTACTTGCAGAAAATTATGGAAACATTCAAATGCTTTCAAAACAATAAAAAGTTATAAACTTTACACACAATCAGCTTAGGTTCAAATGTGTATTTCCCTCCAAATTAAATAAAATACAATGAGTGCGTTAAAACATCCGACTTGAGTGCTTCGCAACTTGTTTAATAATAATAATAATAATACACACTAATAATAATAATAATAATAATAATACACAATAGAATAGAATAACTGATGTGACAAATGTTAAAAGCGGAGTTGAATTGAATGACAATGAAAGTATTTAATCTGAACAACTAACCCGCTTAGGACACCAAGTACCAAGTTGAGCATGAAGAATGAGCCAAGAATTATAAGAGGTACGTGGTACATCCACGGGAAGGCATTTCCTAAAGCGTCATTGGTCTGAAAAATTAAAATGAAAAAAATTAATTGCGTAAATTTTAATAAATTTATTATTCAGTTATTAATTAATTGTATTAAATTTTATTTTGTAATAAAAAACAAATGTTTTTTTTTCTTTAAATTTTGTTTCAATTTTCAAACTTGATTTAAAAACATTAATATAAGTTTCACAGAGGCAAAAGTATTTAAAATCATGATGGTAAAATTTATTATTGTTCTTATCGCATTTGTTGCGGAAGTGTGTACAACTTTGTAATTAAGCTTCAGCACACAAAATCAAAATGGTAAAATGACAAGATGTGATTAACTTCAACAGTACATTGATAATTAAAAAAAGAACATGATGATAAAAATATATCAACATCGTTCGTTAACAATTATGAAACCTCATTAATAATTAAATATAAGCTATCATTCATATCCACGTAGATATAAAAAACATCATTTATATCAACAAAGTTCTGTATCTTATATTTATGAAATATATCATTCATATCAACATAGATATCAAATAATATTTTTGTCATATTTTTGATTATTCTATTAAATAATTTATGACTCCACTTGCACAATACACGCATCATATTAACATACCACAAGATTCAACTAAGTGAACTCACATAATACAAGACTGTTGTCCACCCCTCCATAGTGATGCACTGGAAAACTGTCAGCATGGCGAAACCGATGTTGTCGAAACTGATGATGCCATACTTCGGACCGATGTACGCGTCATCCCAGCACCTGCTGTTGGCAGGACAAAAATTGGCTCCAAATGTGAACCAGCCTTTATTTGAAGAGCACGGACTCACTTCGTCTTCTTCTGGATTCAAAACTATCTCACCTTCATAAGTTATTTTATTGAAATTGTTTGAATGTTTTCAAAAACTTTGCTGTCTCAAACAAAATAAAAATATTTAAAGAGCACTGAATTGAGTAGTGAAATTTTCAAAATAATATTTGAAAGGTAAAAAGGTAAATATTTTTTGAATAATGGAAAACTATTTAAAAGTGGTTACTAACCGAAAGCATCCGCCTTACAAGCGGAATGAAACGCTCCCATAAAAAATTCCAAACCAATGATGGCAAAAATAACAATAGCAAACAACACCAGAAGAGCTATTTGTAACAGTGGGGCCATTGCTTTCAAAATTGATTTCAGCACCACTTGCAAACCTTTAAAATTGAGATATACAATTATTTTAACATATTTAGCAAAATTTAAATCCATTTAACCATAAATTTCAAAAAAAGACTTAAGTACATTATTTCAACAATTTGATTGTTGGTAATAACCAGCTTCATCGTAAGGGTTTTGTGAAAACGAAATTAAACTAATAAAAATTAAACGTATTTTCGATACTGTAAAACAAACAGATTAGGCAAAATTGAAACATTTTGTGTCGTTATTTTTCAAATGAAACCGTCTGAAATTAAAAAATTCATTGACCAGCATGCAAGTTTTATCACGATATCGACTGATGATGGTTCTTCGTTGTCATATAATTTTTATCTCTTCAAAAAGTATATAAAACTAAAAAAAGTTAAAATTATTTTGAAATCGCCTCTTGAAATAAATCAAGAAAAAAATATTAAAATAAGGTTTGATTCATTTATTGCCCTTCAACTCCAACCAGAAAGTTTTTTGGCGTAACTTTCGACGCGAATGACTAAAGTCACCAACTAACAAGCGAACGATCATTAAAGGCACGAATAATAAAATTTATCCAAACTAAATAAAATTAAGTTAAAAAATTTACTTGGAACTCCAGAAACTAATTTCAAAGGCCTCAGTACTCTGACTGCTCTCAACGTCCGGAGGTCGAAGCCGTTACTTCCTCCACCACTCGCAAATATCGTTATGAATCTTTAAATGAAATTAAATAAACAAATGAAATATCAAATACGTCGTCACATACAGTATAATAAAATATATTGCTATCAAAATATTGGTGCCAATATTTATAAAATGACCTGATTTCGTTTTTAGAACTGCAATGAATTTGTTCAGTACACATTGAAATATATTTCAATGTTCCAATGGCTAACATTTAAAAAATGTATGAGCCAAATCAACTAAACTTGGAAGTGTTTGTTTGTAAGAGTTGACTGATCTGGAAGAGGGCCTGCGGCGTAATAGTCACTCATCATAAAACGATTAATATATGCAATATTGATCCCTATTTGAAGAAAAAGCAAAATGACTGCAGGTTTAAAATGGATAAGATTTTATCGATTGACAATCGGAGAAGAAGTAGGATCAAACTTTCTATTTGCAGTCTGACCAAAAAACTTTCGTTTCGTATATATATATATTGGATTAAGACTGTCAGAAATGCAATTATTGATGAAAATCACGGCATGTTCGGCGTTAATTAACTTCCAATTTAACTTTTCGATTTTTCTAACGGTTGATCGTAAATCATTTTTAAGTTTCTTTAGTTCAAAGCCAAAATTTTTGTTTATTTTATGCATGATAGAACCCTGCATTATATATATCTATTATATTTTCGGTATTCCTATACCATCTTCGGTGTTCAAATTGATATGTTGTGGTTGTTCAACACAATTGTTCAAATATGCTCAAATGCCCAGATGCTCAAATATATATAAACTGCGTCTCTACTTTGTATACACACACACACACACACACACACACACACACACACACACACACACACACACACACACACATATACATACATATATATATATATATATATATATATATATATATATATATATATCGCTAAATAATATATTTTAATCACACATCAAAACGTCTTTACGTCTTGCTACGGTATTGCTAAAATATCAACAACAGCAAAATGTTTACAAGCTTTGCAAGTAACTTTCGAAACATGCACCTAATAAATGCATAATCTGATATGCACCAGCCAGATGAAGAATATTGACAAGCTGTCTAAAACAAAAAAACCAACTAAATTTACTCTCTTTACATACCGTTTTAATTTTAAAAAATTTCCTGATCTGGGAAAATTTTTAAAGTAAAATAAATTTCCCAAAAAATACGACTTGAAATCACGATTAATTTCATTATTAAAATGTTATTGAAACTATACGCGCCATCAAATCAGCTGATTTCTTATTTGTTATTCGATTTGTATCACAATGATTCGCAACCTAACATCATCATAACGCCGTGCAATATTGGAGTGCAATATTGGAGTGGAGTGGAGTGGAATGAATGCAGCAGGATCAATAGTTTCTTGTCGGTCAGTGCAAGCGTACTGTTCCATTTCAGAAACAATCCACTCATTGTTAATATTATTATATTGATATTTCAGTTGAGGAATTTTTAATATTATTAAAAATTTAGTTTTCATCAAAATGTTGCACAATTTTATCTAGTTTTGTTTTAATTAAACGAAATATTCATTATCTTAAACTCGCGAATTTATGATTTAATTACATATTTTCTTTGAGCAAGTAATTTTTTAACTGTGACTGTTATTTTTAAAGTTTTTGATATGTTTTGCAATTTTTCCATTTAAATGTGTGTTTATCTTTTGGTTTTTTATTGTCATTCTCATTGTATGTTAATATTGGTAATGTTTTCTTAAGTATGCCGAATATAAATTTGAAATTATGACTGCACGCCCAAAACCTAAAACGTTCAATTGTTAAGTTAATGTGTTACAACTTTATAAGAGTTATTATCAGATGTTAAAAGTAGCATGTTGAATTTTTGTGAGTTCTCAAGCGAACGCTTCAAATTTCGACAGATCAAGTTCTATTGGAAAAAGCATTTATAAATAGTTCGCGTTTCTCAAATTATTTATTTTGACAGAAAAAATTGATCTTGAAAAATTTTGAGCGATAAAATAATGCTCAAAATGGAGTAATTAGATATTCCATCCTAGCCTAAAGTAGTTTTCGACAAAAATGATTTCGATTAAGTGAGAATTGTAGTTTTAATTGACGCGTCGTTGCATGGTTAGGGAGCAACTGATTTTTTGTTTCAATAAATGCATAATTTATTGAAATATAATAACTAGAAATAAATGAAACAATATTACGTATTGGCGATATTCGTCAACTATCTTTTCATCGATATGGCAAATACATTAGGAGACATTTGAATAAATAAGCGCAGTACAAAAATTTAAATTGCTATCTGCTTTTAATTTCCATTAATATCATAAATTGCTGACGCAATGAAAAACGTAAAGTCTAAAATTTGTGGTTCAAAATTATCAAGATGTGCAAACATGCAAACCAGAGGCTGCCGTTTTCTGTCAGTGACCGAAACAGCCCAAACGATAGCGATTAGGATATGCGATATATCATACAATTTAAGATAATGAATGAAAGTATTTTCCAACCCTGTTACGACAACTATAAAATCCATAATATTCCATGCACTCCTCAAGTATGACCCATTATGTAGCACAAATCCCAAAGCCACGATTTTAAAAGTTGCTTCAATGCAAAATATTCCTAAAAAGTATACTTCGGTTTTCTCCTGTTGTTAAATTTGAATAAGACTTTAAAATATTTTTAAAATTTCTAGCATCCATTGGAGAGTTTTTGAAAATGTTAATTACACAAGCACAATAAATTGTTACAATTTTTAAAATTTGTTTATCACTAACTAGTTCAAGAGTTAGCGGAGTTTTATCATTTTCTGGCAAATGTTCCTCTAGGGCTAACACGATGCAATTAGCAATAATAGTGCTAAGAACTAAATATTCGAACGGAGTGTTATAGTGTAAGTTATGGAAAATATAGATATTCCTTTTATAAAATTAAAAAAATTAGCAAAACTGTAACAATCGCATCATCTAATAATTTAAAAAAACAACCAGAATGTAAAGGATATGTCCATTCGATGATGAGTTGAGCATATTTTCGGATGAAATTTTCATTACTAAATATAAAAAGAGATCTATTGCTAGATTTTTTTTTCATTCCTGGCAAGTTTAGTTTATCAATTTTTTTCGCAACTTTTGGCAAAGTTTCATCGTTTCCTGCCATGACGCCATTCCAATTCACGTCACCATCTTCATCCACTCCATTCTCAAATGACAGTTGAGTCATTTTACATAAGAAACCTTAACTACTTCAATTTCTATTTTTTTGAATTGATAGCTGTCAAATATACAATGACATTATAACATAACTTTCGGCGTCATAATTTTATATAACAAACTGTAGAACCTAAAAAAAATTATCGCGGAAATAATAAATTTTTATTAAACCGAAATTTGAAGAAATTTTTTGTTGAAAACCTATTTTCCGACAAAATAAACAAAATAAAAAATAAACAATGTCTGCTCGGCTGTTAATCAAAGTTGGATAACGGTTTTTAATACCAGTGTAATTATTGCTAAAACCGTCAATTTTGTAAATGCGAAGTACCAACGATACATTCATATGAATTATATGCGTATACATGTTTATTTATATTCATGTATAAGCTCGTTTGTAATGTTTGCCTGGATAGGTTCTTGCGTGAAATATATTACAATAGTGTATCGGGTATGTATGGAATGTATTGATATGGGAAGAACACTGGTGCGGATGCAGCACATAGATGCAGAGCAAGTGTTGTACACAGCTCCACACAAGAAACGACACTCACGTAGAAATATGTAATCAATGGCAATGTGTGGCGTTGTATAAAACTTGTACGTTTATACAATATTGTATTATGTACGCACACAGGATTCTATGTACGCACGCACACGCATGTATGTGTGTGTACGTTTGTGCGTGTATGTGTGCGTGCTTGCATTAGCGTAAACCTCCGTGTTAATTTAGGGGTCACTAATAATTCGAATAAATCCCGATGTGTCCGGAATTGGAAGGACAAAATTTATATCCGAAAAATTGCAAAATACCAAAATTTTGAAAATTTTTTTATTAAAGATGGCTAGACTTTTGGATACTGACAAATAATTATTTAAAGGTTTTAATTTACTGCCCTTGAAATTAATCTGCATTTACAAACATAATCAGAAAAAGTCATTCATGTGTTTTTCACAAAAGTAAAGATAAATAGGTAGTATCGTTTCAAAAATCGTTATCTTTTATTTATAGCTGTGAGGATATGTCAAAGCAGACCTGCTACCATAAAGTTCTCCGCTTGCACGCAATTATCTCACCGTATCACATAAGCTGCATAAGTCCGTTATACGTTCTCGTCTGTTTGTGCACATCAGCACCGCGTCGTACACTCGAGCTTACGCTCGCAACCTACGCGCAAAACAACATATTTGTAAAAATGTACTTTGAAAAGTTTCATACGTTATACAAAAAGATTTACCAAATTTATCACGATATCTTTTATGAAAAAAAGCTGTGGAGAAATAAATTTAATCCCGAAGTGACATCATCAATAAATTTGTTTTAAAAAAAACAACAAAACGTAGGGTTCATCATTGTGCGTAATTTATGCCAAATTACTGCACGTTGTGTAGAAGGTCGAAGGTAAAATTTAAGCCACAGAAAAACATATATGGCAACAATAGTTTACAGATAAAAAAAATTTACTAAAATCTGAAGAAGATTAAAAAGAAAGAAAATAAATCTAACAAAATTTATATCAAATTTAAACAAGAATCACACTATTAAACGGTATGCATTCATATAGAGACCTACATGTGTTCTACATATGTGCTTCTTAATCTTTCAAGTGTGTTCGTGGACGTAAAGTAGCAAATTCGTTGTTGTTTTGAAATATGGTGTTAGTTTTTTCCTTTATGAGACCCATGTTACTCCTTCAAATTCAAAAACAGTTTATGGCTGAATCTTTCATCAAACAGTTGTCGCAAACATGCAAACACAATGGATATCAATGATGCATTAATCTTACTAGCCCTATGTGTGTGTGGTATGAGTGCTGCTGTGTGAATTATAATAAAATTGTTACAAACTGGGTCATTACTTATTTGCATTAGAAGATTTATGACTTGAAGATAATGCTTTATTCTGCAATTAACCTTTAATTATCCATTAACCTTTAATAATCCATCAATTAATGTAATTAATGTGCTTTGTATCTATATAAAAACTTTTTAAAACAAACTTAGTTCTACAATGCTACACTCATATTATTTATACGGTTTCGTTGCAAACTTTCACAACTCAGGTGGCGACGTTCTGTTGTTGTCGTGTGCTGTTGGGTTGGATTCAGTTAATTAAATTAATTAACTAAATTAAATTTAATAAATGATGAATCATCCAAAGTTAATTAATCAGATCTTAGAGTATGGAACAGCAGGATTCAGAACAAAGTGCGATTTGCATTTCCCTAGCTAGCTTAACTTAACAGTTTTAACTTCCTAGCTTTTTTAACAAAAATACTACATAACATGCAATTAATTTTATTGTTTTATTGCACTAATAATAGTAATTATAATATATCAATACATTATTAAAACTGGTGTAATGATATAAGATCATCATTAATAGATTACCACCAAATTTAATTTTTCAGGGCCAATCTTTTAGATCATGTTCTTTACCGAGTTGGTATTTTGGCTGTTCTGAGATCAAAGTTTAAAAAAGGTTTTAAAGACATTTGCATCATTATATTTTTTAAAAATATATTTTAAACTTTTTAGTAGTTTTTACTCACTTTTCACTTGAATGATATACTAAGATTAATTAAATAATGTTTTGTAGGTAGATTTTTTAATATAAATTTTTTTATTTTTCTCGGCTCATAAATATCTGTACATTTAATGTTTAATCATGGAGCATGTAGAACAATTGGTCTGATAGCTATTCTTAGTTTTTATTTAATGACCAACATGATATATTAGTCATGTTGATACATTCAATGTTTTTTCATTCCTTGATAGATAAAACGGACAAGAATGGTCATTAAATTTAACATAACATAACAGGGTTTAAAGTGGTTTAGTAGATTAGAGTCTGTGAGAGAACCACTGTGAGATAAGTGTCCTAATATCCTAACTTTCAAAACTTGATCTTGAAACTGTTGATTGGTTCTGTGGAGACCGTCTCATCACTCAGGTGTTTACCACTCTATTGCTGAAGAATCTTTGCTTGACGGCACTTACTATTTTTTTGGAGAGCTTCTAATAGTAATCCTATTCTATTCTCCAGTTGAAAAAATCTGGTAAACGGTGTTTCTTCTTTCTTGATAATCAATTTGTATGCCTAGGAAAGGTTCAGTGTTAGCATTCACATATACTTTCAAATTATTGTAATCAGCATTTATCATTAGATTTAGCTTGAGCAAAATGTTTGCATGAATTCAAAAGCTATCTAGATGTGATTCTGAAAAAAAATTAAATGTTAAGGTAACTGAGAGAAGAATAGGCTTTGTAGGCAGAATAAATGATATTCGTTTTTTAAATTTTTATATTTTTATGCTTAATATCATTTCTTCCTAATTTAGCAACAATTGGAGTAATGATCACGGCTTCGCATAATCCTGTTGAGGATAATGGAGTAAAACTGGTGGATCCTCACGGCGAAATGTTGGCTCCTGATTGGGAAGTCATTGCCACTGACCTCGCTAACGTTAGGTAAGGACTTCTCTTGTATACTTGATAATTGTTTGAAGTTTGTATGTATAGAAAAATTTAAACGTAATTCATTAATTGGGTTAATTTCATTTAAACAGTGATGATCGGCTGTCGTCGTTAATTGACTCTATTGTACATAAGTGGGAAATTGATATAACATCCCCATCCAATGTTATTTTTGCCCGAGATACCAGGTTGAAATTTCTTCATTCTTTTCAAGATCTTTCGTTATTTTTTTGGCTGTTTGAATTACCTCAATATTAACAAATGTTTTTTTTTTTGAGGTTTTTTTATTCTTGATTTAGCATTTTCATTTGAAATCACAATTTCAGTTGATCAACTAAATGGAAATATAATACTGTAATCATTTTGTAATTGATGCACCATTGGTTCGGCAAAGCCAATGGATAAACTATTGATGAGTTTTGTAATACGTGCTCAAGATCACTTAATTTAAACTTAGCTAGAGGAGATTTTTTTATGATGTTTTATTTGAAATTCTAATAGAAAAAAAGTTAGTGTGACAACTTACTGATTGCAGTTTTGTTAAGTGATGAGGTAATATGAAATAAACTCATTGGTTTTGCACAAAATTTTCAATGTCGAAATAGAAAAATTTAGTGAAAAATAATTTTTTAGGCCATCTGGATCAAGTTTATCTGCGTCATTGCTTGATGGAATAAAAAGTTTAAATTCTTCTTTCACTGATTTCGGTTTGTATTAAGTAGTTAATTAATTAATTAATTAATTTGTTCCATTCATATTGCAATTGTTTATCTAAATTTGTGAATTAATTAAAATTTTAGTGCTCTTGTTTTATTTTAAAAACTCTTGTCAATTGAAATTTTACATTCAAATTTTTAATTTGAATTTTTTAAATGAAATTTGTGACAAAATTTTTAGCTTTGTGCATTACACTTTATCAGCCTGTTAAATTTTTATTAGATTTTTTATGAAGAGCTTTCAAAACTTTTTTTTTAATATTTTCATAATAGTGTCTGTAATTAATATTTTTAATCAAATTTTAATCACCTCAATTTTGACTGATTTAAAATTAAAATTATTTTTATTAGTTCGCACACAATTTTACTTGATTTTTATAATAATTAATTGAAAAAATAATTCTTAAAAAAATAAAAAATTGAATAATTATTTTTAAACAGAGATCTTAACCACTCCTCAGTTACATTACCTAGTACATTCTATCAACACAAATGGTCTTTATGGTACTCCAACGCCAGAGGGATATATCAAAAAATTATCTGCTGCGTTTAATCAGCTTCATTCCAATGTTTATTTTAATTTTTTTTATATAAAACTTTAATTTTTAAAGTTGTGGCTTTTTTCTTTTTTTTCAAAATTTTATACACATTGATGTTTCTAGAATAGTTAATTCTCAATGCGCAAATTTTATTAATGGAAAACATTGTCTTTTATTTGCTACAACAGGCAAGTAGAAAATGATTGCGCCTTTTTTGAAATATAGCACTCTAATATTTCTGAAAAGCTTGTAAGATTGAAATTGACAAATCGATGAACCGTTTTTTTAACATGCCATCCATTAGATCAAGCATGAGACTACACCTTTTGAGAAACCTCGGATTTTCGTTGATGGAGCCAATGGTGTGGGAGCGCTGCAGGTAAAGAAGATGTCCAAAGAGATCGAAAGCTACATCACTATTGAAGTCTTCAATGATGCTACCAGTGGTAAACTCAATCACATGGTATATTTCAAGTTGTTTAAAAAATTTTTGGCTCATCCGTTTATTTCAGTTGATACGTTTCCAAAATTTGAAACCCAGAATATCTTTGTAAAAATTTATTATAAAATAAATTGAAAAACTTATTTAAAAGTGTAAAAAATATAAGTTTTTTAAACTTTCAGTGTGGAGCAGACTATGTTAAAATTCAACAAAAAGCTCCAGAAGGTTTACCGATGAAAATAGTTTTCATTGTTTTATGAAACTTATTTATAGTTTTGTAATAATAATTTTTTTTAAACTGATTGCAGGTGTACCAATAATACCATATGAACGATGCGCCTCATTTGACGGAGATGCTGATCGAGTTATTTATTATTATTTTGACAGTGGTTAATAATTGATTTATTTTAATATTTTTTAAACTTCGTCGTAAAGTTTTCGAATTTTTGTAAAGTTTTATTTAATAATTTAATTAAAGCTAAGCTAAGTTCTTCCCAAACTCCACCCATTAACTTTTTAGATAAAAGGTTTCACATGTTAGATGGTGACAAAATAGCAGCTCTTGTAAGCCTTTTACATCATTTTTAAAATGACATTTCTCAAAGAAAAATAATTTTTATTAGATTGCCGGATGTATATCAGACTTTTGTGTACAAGCGGGTCTCTCCGTTGATCTCGGGGTCGTACAGACGGCCTATGCAAATGGAGCGTCTACAAAATATTTGACAGATACAAAAGTATATAAAAATTATTTGGCTTCTCTCGTTTTAAAATGTTTTGGTCTCTTCGTTTGTTACGTTGAGATATGGTACATACTTGGATTATGTTTATTGTCAAGTAATCTAGTTAGAGTGCGTAGATCCGTCAGTTTTAAAATGTTTTGGTCTCTTCGTTTGTTACGTTGAGATATGGTACATACTTGGATTATGTTTATTGTCAAGTAATCTAGTTAGAGTGCGTAGATCCGTCAGTCAACAGTATACACCGTATATAAAGTAAATCACGGAAAGTTGTATCAGTTGTTACCATCAGTTTTTAGAACCTGGAGCCAAGCAGTAAGTTGAAATAAAATTGATCAAATTCTTGTAAATCGTTCAAGTATATTTTAATGATTGGGCAGAATGGTGTGGAAGGCAGACTAATGACTCCGGGTACTCTACTCAACTTCGATTGTAACCTACTGTCGCTCTTAATCCTAACTATATTTAGTGTTACAATTTCTATATGCACCCAAAAAATAGATTATAATTACGGTTCTAATAAAGTTGGAAAAGTACTCACTTTTTATTCAAGCAAATTTCTTTGCAAAACGCTCTGAATTTCCTAACCAAAAATATCTAAGACTTTGTTACGACAAACGTTGAATAAACGTGAGTTGAATAAACGAAAATAGACGGGAAAAACTATCTGTTTTAAGCATTAAGCAGTTTATTAATTTAATTAGGTGCTCCAGAAAATGTTGGTTCTTGTTTTTTTACGATATCGTTTTCAAGTTTCACATTAGTTCCTGCGACAAATTTTGGATTTTTTTTGTTTTGGTGTTATTCTTGCTCCTTTCGAAGAATGAGACATTTACTGTCTGTTTACTACGTCACAGATTTCAATTGATAAACATGCCCAGGTGAAACGAATGTGATAATTTTAAAAATTTATCGTTTTAGATGTTGAAAGTTGCTTGCGTTTGTACTGGTGTGAAGCATTTGCACAGCAAAGCCCAGGAGTTTGAAGTGGGGGTTTATTTTGAAGCTAATGGCCACGGAACTGTTAGTAATTGTATGTATTTGGGTTGTTTTCATGAGATGCTAATATTTTCTTTGTTTATTCCCTCCAAGCTATTACTTTTAATTTTCGCTAAATGTAATTTTCGTGCAAGTTCCTGACGTTTGAATACTTTTATTCATCATTACTTCAGGTTTTATATAAAGCATCAGTTAAGCAGAAGCTTAACCAAGTCATCCAAAATGGGTTTGAGTTTTTTCTCCTTTATTTATTCATTCATTTATTCATTCATTCGTGTTTGACGTATAATAATCTTAATTCAACCAGTTTTGAATGTATGAAGTCATCATTTGGCTTATCTTCAATTTCTTTCACGATCATTTCATTGAACCGTTTCAATTTTGAATTCAGGATAATCATATATTCAAATATATTTTATATATTATTAATTAAAAAGCCTCATTTTAGTGTTATCTTACAATTTGTTAATTTATCTTTTTTTACCAAAAAAGGTTAATACCGAGAACTCGTTTTATTATTCCGTTTTGTCGTTGTTAGATTTATAATTTCTCTAAAGATAGAAGTTAAGATTTGTATTTTGTGGCTGTCGTTGGTTTGTTTATAAATTGTTTCAACCTGGTATCACTACACAGCTCATCGGATGATTCTTGCAGAGTTGCAGCAGAAAACTTGTTGAACTTCATTGATTTGACCAATGAGGTGATAATATTTTTATTTTCTCAAATTTTTCCATTTCTTTGTTAGATAACGCATTTCATAACATGACAAAGTTAGATACTATAACATAACATTAACATGAATTTGATATCCATTTTTTTATATGTTGGAAATTTTTTCTGTTTTTTGTTTTCTATAAAATGTGATAACTTTGGCAGCAACTTTAGTTTTCTTTACTTTGAATCTCCTTTTTCATTTTGTAGTTAAGTGTCACTCTGAGAGATTTGCACTAAATTGATTCATCACAATTCTGTCTTCCGAACACTACCTTAGACTATTACGATATTTCACTTGTAGGCCAAGTGTTTATACCATTTTGGAAAACGCTAAAAAACTTTAGTTCTTGTGTACAATATTATTTCTAAACCATTGTAATTACAGACAGTGGGAGATTCCATATCAGACATGTTACTCGTTGAGACGGCATTGAAGATTAAAGCAATTGATGTATTAATGTGGGATGCCATGTATGTCGATCTACCCAATCGGCAACTGAAGACACAGGTTAGCAATGAAAAAGTTTTAGCCTCAAAAGTGCCAACCATTATTTTTTTTATTTTTAATAAATTTATGAACACTCATAAAGTAATCGATTTGTCTACGTTAACACTTATAGCTTACGTTCAAGATGGTCCATATTACGCTCTATTTATAAACGTACATAGAAACGGAAGCCTTACCAAGTTGAACATAAATACCTGAATAAAAAAATTACTTGTTTATGAATTTTTCGCACAACCTGAAATCAGTAACAAAATGACAAGTTGCAACATTCATGGCCATTTTTCAGAACATAAATATATTAATCGGCGATGCTTAGTTGCACACTATCACATTTTGTAGTTTTCCAGAATTGAATTCCTTTGGTTCCCGTGCCTTATCTCGAATATGCCATCGTGTTACTCAACAGCGCATTATTTTATAGTTGAAATGTTCGTATTCTCATCTGTGCTTTGCCAAAGTTGAAATAATCTCTCTTTTGTAACATTTTCTGCTGGTTCATTCATTTCATGTTCACCTCTCACTCAAAACCAGGTCTGCGACCGAAGTATTTTTGTGCTAACAAATGCAGAGCAACAAGTTGTTAAACCAGAATCAATACAGCCAAAAATTGATGAGCTGGTATCCAAATATAAAGATGGCAGAAGTTTTGTCAGGTGATTGATTCTCTTTACATTGTGTAATAAATTATTATTTATTATTCATAAACTACCATTATTTTACAAATATAATCAGGCCATCGGGAACGGAAGATGTGGTAAGAATTTACGCAGAAGCTGACACTCAAGTAAGTTAAAATAATTTTTTAAAACATCCTTTTTCATAATAATTTCTCTCTAACCATCCTACACTTCTTCTGCAATATCCTATTGATGAATGGCTTTGAAATTCGCAGTATTACTTTTTCCATCCCTCTCACAAATGTCTTGGTTTATTTCTATACCAGATGTCTCTACACTCATCAGCGCAGATTTTGGCTGGCATGACACATTTGTTTCCCATTTCAAAAAATTATTATTTAATCCATGGTTCGATTTTTAGTGGAAAGAATTTGTTTTTGGAATATAAATATAAAATTTTAGACGTAGCTCGTTAGCATTATTAATGATTAGAAACTTAGACGACGTTCAACCTATCATTAACTGATTAACTGGCGTAAATGCTTCTGTGCGAACATTATTAAATGGCGTATACTTCCATCGAAAGCCTGTATTAAATCTAGCAACAAATGTATTTTTGGACCTCGTAAATTTGTATTTTAAACCTTAATCTTAATAACGGTGAACGTTAAAATTTTTTAAATTTTCTATGCAGATGAACGCAGATTGGCTTGCGTATGAAGTGAGCTTGGTAGTATATGAGCTGGGAGGCGGATGTGGAAAAAAACCAACACCACCCCATGACGGGAAGTTGTTAACAATTGCTTAGGAATACATAAAAGACTGAATTTTCAGCTAATTCAATCAATACGGAAACATAATATTTTTTTAAATAATTTTATGGTTTTTTAATATAGAATAAAATTGGAATTTATTGTATCACTAAGGTTCGAATTGCAATTTTTTAATCTATTAATCATACTTAACCATTAAATGCGATGTTTTTCAAAATGATGGTTTGCCGCAAGATGACAAAAATTGAAAATAAACAAACAAAATCTTAAGTCGCCTCAAAAATCAAAATTGTTCCAAAATATTAGTGGTTTTGCTGGGCTAGATCATTTTCCATACTTGAATACCAAAGATCTGATGAAGCTTAGAGTTTTAGTGCCCCAGTCTTCCAGCTGTCTGTCGTATCTACTTTTATTGTATTTTTATATATGCATTTGTTGATTCAGCTTCGACTGCTTGTATTGTACTGTGTTGAAAATTTTGTGGAGTGCTTCTCACTGCTGAAAAACTTCAATGACGCTAGCTTCGCTTGAGTTTGTTGAATAAATGGTACTTAAGACGCTTATATACATGTCTACTCATGTTGCAAGAAATACACCCCAGAAGATATTTCTTTTCCAAATCTGAATTTTGAGAGCACCATATCAGCATTGTTGTATGATCTCTTGTTGTATGATCTCAATCGACTCCAGTTTGCGATCCCTGGAACAAGCTGAAGTTAAACACACGTTTTAACAATTTGGTCATATTTCATTACAACACAACGCATTGGTTACAAACATTTTGAAAAGGCACTCGTTAAACAAGTAAAAAGCTGGTTTATCACCGTATTAAGTATTAGATACAAACATAAGCCAATTTTTTCCTCTACTTCTTATTTAAGATACTCTTCAAAAAATAATGTCGAACTATGTTAACTTAATATAAACTGTAAAAAATAATATTAACATTCAGTTTAAAAAAAAAACATTAAAAATAGGTTTCATTTCTTAGCATCACAAGAAAGCCGGATTTACGTGAAAATGTCATTGAGATGGAAAATTTCTCAGGTCCATTGCGCTGAAAAATAATTTATTTCACGTTTCAATATAGAAAAAAATATAATGTTGACTCTTTTTAATTTAACAATAGAGTAATAATAACCGGTGTCACTCGTATTCTGGATTGTCATTATCAACGTTGAATGGAGAAGTATCAGAAGTATTAATATCAAACTCATTGTCCATCAAAAATGATTCAAGTTCTGATTGGTCGCCAGAGATTTCTATATCTTTTATATCTAATTCTCGCACGTCTTCACCAGATCTCATGGTTGCTAAATAAATTATTATTTACGCCACAATTATGGAACAATATCAAAGTATAAATGCATTTGTGTCGCGCGTAGGTCCTACGACGGGGTTTCCTCGCGCATATAAAAATGTACGTAGATTGGTAAAATGTCAAAATTTAAACCTAAAAGTTTGGAGAGGCTGCATTCTGTATTAAAAGTAGAAGTGATCATATTATCTTAAAAAAATAACGACAGAGACATTGTCTGCTAATTAAAAATCAAAATTTTTAGATCAAGTATTTGTATGAAAAGCTCTGGATATGAGGCTATTTAATATTTTCAAAATGTTCAATGGATTCGGTAATGAAGTAAAATAGTAAATTGTGTCAAAAATAAAAAACAGTTACTTGGTAATTCAATAATTCCGTATTTTTTATATCTTTCCATCTGTTCATTATGAGCGGATTCAAAAACTTTAGATCTCTGCATCATGTTGGCTTTCTTCAATTTTTCATGGTTCAACGTCAGTTCATTGTGACGATGAGCCAGCATATCTTCATTATTTACAAATTATATTTATTAATGAAGAATCTTGGTAGTTGTCACGTCAGATTTATAGTTCCCATTAATTCGTTTTGAATAATTCATTACACACCATTCCCTACATGCTAAGGTTAAGGTGCAGTGCTCTTTCCCTATAAGAGGTGCGCGATTATACAAAATGAGCGAACAAACATAGTAAACTCACAGAAACCTAATAAAAAATTGATAAAAATAATAACATTTTGAATGTAGTCTAGTTTTATCCAGTATCATTATAATAAATCATTTGAGAATTGTCGATGATCATTACACATTCTTGTGTTAAAAACAATTCATGCTACAATATGGCTCTATTTTTGAAATTTTCTTACGTTTCTGTTTAGCTATAATTTTTTAGTGATTTTCTTTACCGAAAATTTTGCTAAATCTAAATTTTTGTGATTTCTTGAACATTTGTATCCTTGAAATATTTTAACCTTTACCTGAAATTTCATTGCTGGTGCTGCGTTGTTTGATCTAGAATTCTCTTGTGAAGTTTTGTTTGATCCTTTCGTTATTCTTGGACATAGCACAAAATAAGTTCAATACATAGTATGTTTATGACCTGGTCATATAAATCCGTGAAACCAAAACAAGGTTTAACATAATAGGAATTTTTGATTCAGCAAACTTTATAACAAAAATTAAGCTCTAAAGGGTTCTATAAATTTTGTATCCAACGTGAAGTAGAATGATACATTATGTCAAAATAGTTGCTTAATATTCACTTCAGTGAAGTTCCGATATGGTTTACGTAATCGATCTCCAATGTTCACGCTTGCATATGTTTGTGCATGAATATATAAACACAATCAAGTAGTTAGTATAAAATCTATCTTTAAATTTGACACTAAACACACGCACAATGTAAAATTTCGCCAAAAGCATAAAAAAGTAAATAAATGTCGATTATACTTTTATTATTTTGAAGATCTTCCATTTTCATTATTCTATACAACTCTAAGCTATCTTCCTTCAAGTTCATATTTTTTTTTTCTTCGAGGGCTTTATTTATTGTTTGAAGTTCAATCAATGACTGCTCTAGCTGCCTGCATAATTGATTTGCTTGAGCTAACAAATTTTAAAAACAAATTAAATAATGAATATAAGAAAGTATTTTGTCCATTTCTTACATAAATTCTTTTTAACGTTCAAAATGTCTCGTTCGACATTCGGAATCGAATTAACTTCTTCAAGAAATTTTATAGATGAACAATCCGTGGCAACAGAATCAGAACACAGTTGCTCTAGCATACTGTTACATTTCTGTTGATTAAAATTTATGTAAAAAATGCTTTTAGTTAAATTTTTTTACAGCAGTAAAATTGCTTGAAGCATGTCAAAAACGAAAAAAAGAACAAGGTTTGATTTTTTATACAAAAAAAGAGTATGACATTAAAAGGTAATTCAGGTATACAGAATTTGAATTAAGATAAATTGCAAAAACGACCACTGCTTCAAACCGATTTATTATAAAAGTAGAAAGATTAGATTTTTAGGAACCACAATGAGAAGCACGATTTTAACAAAATAGGAACCCAAGAGTAACAAAATTGTTTATTGTAAGATAGCTGCAATTTTTAATTATTACGCTTGTTGGAATATTTTTACAGAGGGTTTTTAATGACCAATGTTGGTCAAATCAAAGTTTACATCTTTTATGAAAACAAATACAACACACATGATATAAACACTTTTGAAAAACATTACTTCATTATATGTAGTAACGAAAAATTTGTGTAATGAAAAACTTACTTCGAGCAAACTTTTGAATCCATTTGTATTTTCATGAATATCACTCCAGCCATCTTTAAACCTTCATATAGTCAATAAAATAAAAAATTCAAATGCAAATATTACATAAACAGCACATGAATAGGTGTGTGTAGTAACAATAATTTATGTAACACTAAGACAAACAACTAACGCACTCTTTGGCAGAAACCAAGATGCAATATATAAAATCTATTAAAAAGTAATGTATTAGTTTAAAAAAGATATAAAGACATTAAAATATTGCTGTTGGTAGCAATATAAAGCATATCAAATTTGTGACAAATGAGTTTTTAATCTTTCTTTAAAAGTTGCCACTGAAGCACATGTTATGATGTATGCAGGCAGTATGTTCCAGATTGTTGGTGAAGAATGACGAAAAGCACTTTTTGCTGTGTTGATTATTATTGGTGCATTGGAAAAGTGTATGCATTTGTTGGTTTTGCTAATGATTAAATTTCTTGAATATATAATGGCTGTGATGCTAATAACATCTAAAACGTTATTGTTGATATTTTAAATAGAATGCAAAATTTGGTTTGGAAGCCATTGAAGTTATTGTAGAATTTTAATTGAGTTTGTCCGTTTTAACTGAGTTTACAAAAATGTAACCTTGTATTGCATGTTGCAGCTTAGGTCAAGTATACCAGAATTAGCCATTCAGAAAACAGACTAAAAGTTGATTTTGTTTGTTTTTTGTCTGTTTGTTATAGTCAGTTTTTGCTTAATGTACAAAATTTCTATTATTTGAGATTATCTTGACTTAGAGGAAATAATGTCCACAATATAATAATAATAATTATTATATTATACGACAACAATCCAGATACATTAAAAAAATAATATTGATGAATTTGTCAAAATAGTAACCTCATTGCTAAACAATGTCCAGCATACTCTTTCTCATTTATTGATTTTTTTATCATCTTTATAAAAATAAAAAGGTTGCACATAAAATAAAATAAATTAATAAATGTACATTTATTAATTACATGTTATACGGTTATAATGCATGTACTGTACAAACATATAAATAAAAATGCAATTAATGAACAAACAAATAGTTTAACGTAAAGCCTCCTACTTTTTCTAATCTTCTTTACCCCTCACTTATTAAACTTTACTTTTTCAACTCTTTCCAGCCAGGTGAAGCTGGCCACTAATAACGTGATCATCGTAAAATAAAACGATAACTATGGTAAAAGAATGAAAAAAATCCAAATATATGAATTGTAATCTATTATATACAATATATATATATACATATAGGATTCAGACTGAAATATATAGATGCAGGTAAAACGACCACCAAACAATATTAATTACTTTTATATTGAATAACTAGATCCAGAAGTCCTTCTATTTAAATTTTGGAGTGAATATAAAGCTTTTGACAAACGAGAAGTATCAATATTGCAGCCGCCACTAAAAGTTCAGACGAACACGTTGCATACGTCTAGTCGCGCTAAGCCTCTGCGCCATTCCCACCGGTACTTTTTTAATGATCAGAAAACGAAAAAAACAAATTACGATCAGATTTTCGTTTTTCCAAATATTCAAACACTTTTTCAATATTTTAATTTTAAAATGTGCAAACCAAAACGACAAATATTAACTGAGATAAGATTTGAAATAAAGTTATAGCGAATTAAATTGTTGATATCATGTAATAAAGACAAATGCTAATGCTCCATTGACCTGTCTTCTGGTTCTGCTTCAACTTCTGGCGCACTTTTTGCCTCAGACGCCGCCTTTACAAAATAAATTAATTTAAAATATGATTTCAACTCGGAACAAAAATAGTGCAAACCTCCTCATCGTCTTTTCCTGCACCAGGGGATCTTTCTTCACCTTCTATTAGCTTCAGCTAAGTAGTGCGTTCAAAATTTGAAATTTGCTAATAAAAATGTGATGTTAAAAAAAAAAATCTTTCAAAATTATACAAACATATCTTTGAACTTGGTCGTCATCATAAACAGTGAATGGAACATCTTTGCCAACAATACCGACTGAACAGTTCTTGAAAACAAATATAAAATCGAATAAGCAATTTTTAATATTTCAATGAAGTTTACAATGTTGATTATAAGAAGCAGAAAATTTACTAAAAATAAGCATAAGGTAGAGAAACAATATAAGAGTTTGTTGGCTGCATCTAGAGTAAAAATATAACTTGCTCAAATCATTACTTTCAGTTTTCATTTAGGATAAATATAACAAGTGCATGCACAGAATATATCAATAGGATATCTAATAAAATGACTGTATTTCAATAAAATTCTTAAATTAAACGTTACATCGAAAGATTAAACCAAATAAGAGCAGCTGAACTAATATTCACCTAATTTCAATGGCAAAAATTAGATAAACATAAAAAATAAATAAAGCTGATTGATCGACAGGTCGTTTCAAAAGATAAATTAGATAGACAAACTTTGAAAAATTTCAAAACTCATATCTGCAAAAGCATTTATGTAGATATAAATAAAGTAATGGAGACATGTACCTTTGTTGTTAATTCGATTTCATTAGGTAGCGTATCTCTCAATGCTCTTAATCCATGTTTGATAATATCATCCAACTTAGCTAAAAATAAATAATAAGGAAATGTATACATTAATTATAGTTGCAGACAGAACAAGCTCATGTAACGCATGAGTGAAGGAAAAACTGACTAAAAAAATGGAATGACATTATAAATGACAAGCCGTTGGAAAATAAAATGAAAAAGTAGCCTGCAAGGTGTTTGTACTGTTTGAAATGAAAGCATTCTTTGTAGATTAGTTGAGAAAATGGAAAGATGGATGGACGGCAAGAAACCAGAAAGTTTTTTTGGATCAATGTAGTGGGTATAAAAAGTTCTATAACCAATAATTTAAATTTCTGGAGACAACAAATATTTTTGAAAACATAGCAGAGAAGTCAGATACATATAAAAGCCATGCGAAAGAAAACACAAAATTTTATTTTTACTATTTAAAACGAAATTATAACAATGAAAACATACATTCTTTTATAAATAAATGAACATTCTTTATGAAAACAACAAAGAAGAATTTTAATTACCATTTTTGAACTCATCCAAATGCCTCTCTAAATAGGTCCTAGCAGATTGAGATCTTGCTCCAATAGCCATTGCCTTACATTCAAAATAATTCGCCGATGGACATGTTTGATAAATGTGGGAGCCTTTTTCCTAAAATAATGCACAGTTATTCATAAAATGACTCATCCCAAAATAAATTTTGTGAATGTTACATCATATCCTGCAATGAGCAATCCAACACCAAAAGGTCTCCTTCCATATTTTTGTGTCGGTACTTGTGATTCTGTTTTATTAAAACGAAAAATGACAATTTCACAAATTTGGAAAAAATTGTGAACTTTGGAAAAAAGTACTTGTTCCAATCATGGCCACTAAGCGTGACACAGGCATCGGAGTGTCATAAGCATATCTTGAGTTGTAACATTCGGTCCTCATATATTTGCTGAAATTAGCAATTAAATTTTGTTTTAATCATTATGCAGCCTTAAGACTGTGCAAATGTGATGATAAAATGAAGCAACCTTAACAAGCGGGCATCAGCAGTGAGACCAGCAATTGATATGCCAACGTGATCATCAATTGGTAATATTTTCTTCTGATGTGCTGATAATTCTGACGGAGCTCTCTGAGGATAAATTATTTATAGGCATGATCAAATTTCAAAAGCAGCATACCTTTACTCAACATATTTAAACTTTTTCTAAAATATGTTGAATTAGGAAACTAAATATTTTGCATCCAAAATACTGAAAACTAATGTACAATATACAAATCTTTTATTTTGTCAATTTCATGTGGTTGTTACAAAATTGAAACTGCGAAACTTTGATCATAAAACTTTCTTTCTCATGCATTGCTGAGCTTGATATAATTAATAAAATATAACAAATCTCTATGTAACAAATTATTCCCACTTTCTAAACATCATCTACATCGTGAACGTTGTTGCAAATTTTAACTTCTGCATCAAATGTCTAAAAACGAATTTGTTCTAGAGCATCTTTAAACTCTCCTTAAACTCCCACTAACCTCATTTCATCCATCTTTTATGATTTAACATGCAGCACCTCGTACTTAAGATAATATTACTACCATTTCATCTGCACAGACCGAACACTCTATACTCTATATAACAATTAATCTTCAAACAAATGATTTTTTGTATAACAATCAATAATGAGACATGCTATCAAATACCTTTAAAGCCACAAGAACGGCATAATCATCTGATTTCAAGCCAACTGTTGCAGAACCTTGCTTCACAGCTTCCATTGCATATTCAATTTGATGAATTCTACCCTAAAAGTTGAAATAAAGCCACTCAAATATTAACTATATTAGCCATTAGAATAATAACATTTAAATATTAGCTAATAACAAGAAAAAAAACCTGAACTGTAACCAACATAATAAATAAAAATGAAAAAAAGGAAAAACCTGAGGACTCCAAACCGTGACATCATTATCATACTGGTTCCTAAACTAAATAATACAAAAATAAATTTAAATGATTTTCAAAACATATAATAGTTAAATAAAAATATCACATTATTCCTTAACAAATCTACAGTATGTCTACAGATAGCACTAAACATGTTACAGTATTGAGTATGTCTACAGACAGCACTAAATATGTTACAGTGTGTCTCTATAGACTGCATTAAACATGTACAACATCTGTAATCATATAATAAATCTGTAATCAATGTCAGAGCAAAAGTCTGCTGCTTCAACTACATGCATAGTTTATTTCAAAGCTTTAAACTACCATTTTTCCTATCCTGTTCAATTGTTTAAAAAAATATTAGTTTTTATTATGGTTTTCATTCTAGGAAAAATTGTTTGTTGGCTTTTAGTTCCAGCACATTTGCACAAGTAATTATTTAAATTTTAAGAATATCTTATACATTCTTTTCTATTTTTTAAGTATTGATATATTTATTTATAATTTTCAGTTGCACCAGACAGACGATTTCTTTCTGCTTAAAAAGTAAAAACAGATGAACACAATTACAATTGCTATTACAGTTTCCATTGTTAATCAATGTCTTAATGATCATTAATTTTCACTTGCTAGCTAAAGTCATTAAATATTAACTTAATTAATTTGTTTTACTGTGGCATGGCAGACAAGAGCTTTGACAACTGATGGCTGATGATAGCCATTGCTAAAAAATTATTGTAAAAGAAAATGCATAGTCACTTTTCAAATTTAGCAGCACAGACTGAAAGTTATTAAATTTGTTACTTGTTACAAGATCAAACAAAAGAAGGAGAGGCTTTAACATTTACAACACTGAAATAGCTTAACTGAAAGTATAATTAACGCTAGACCCACACTAACCATCGTTTTAAGACTCAGGAAAAACAAAATTACCGAAAAGGCGAATTACGTTTGTAAAATTGGCAGCGTACGAAACCATGGATATATATAAAATCTATGGACGAAACATAACCAAGGGGAGGCCTATTTACCAGCATACAACACCTTCTTATGAGTTGAAGCAGGGATATGCAAATAACCTCAATTTTTTCAACTTTCAATTATTTTCAGTAATGTCTCCCCTTGCTCCAAACAACATAACTAGAATAATAGGACTAATCGATCAATTCGATCTATCGGTCGGGCTATTTGTCGTGCTTGGATTGTTGGCTTACGAAATTGCATGGATTTTAACGAGCAAGCTAAATGAAATATTTACTTGATTTAATATGCTAAAAACATTGTAGTAATTCTATTTAATTTTAATAATGATTAATAGAATTATGTACCCACCCCACCACCTACGTAATGCCTTGGGCTCCAACCTAATAATAATAATGTAAAACTTAATAACTAACTTACCTCTAGATACACTTACAGCGTTTATTTAATTTAAATTACAAGATTGTTCCTAGAATTAAATTATTGCTTTTAACTACCTATGAAATTAAATTACTCTCAACCTTAGTAATAATAAATTAGAATGTGTAATGAAAATAAAATAACACTCAAATGCTAATATGTGTTTATGTATGTATTTGTGTGTGTGTGTATAATACGCTGATGCGTGTAATGTGGGTGCGTGAAAAAATAGAAGAGATAAACTTACGCTGCCTACCTATACAACTACATTAGTGTTGGATGCTTCCTATCTATCCTACCTACAATTAAAATTATGCCTATCTAACCTACCTATATAGCTACTTAATGTAATTGTGTGTATGTGCGTGTGCGTGTGAGCATTCTTACTTAATGTTAAATTACAGAGAAAAACAGAGAAAAAAGAATAAAACGTATCCCTGCCAGGCGTATCTTCTTTGCCACTGAATGAACGAACGTAGCCTGACATCTTCCACGATGAATTCCTTTGGAAGCTTCAACCTGAATAAAATGGATGAAATGGAAAAATCTTATTTGACTAATTTAAATGAAAAAAAAAACGAGCCGCGGTGAAACCCGCCGGAAAAGCCAGCCAACTGGCAAAAAAAGAACCGCAAAGAAACCGTAAAACAGGGCGTGCATTCTTTGCCACCGAATGAACGAACGT